ACCACGCCCCTGACCACGCCCTCCCTGCGGCTCGCCACCGGGTTGGCCGCGGCGGAGGCGGTGGCCGCGGTGCCCGGAAGTGCAGCTGACGTGTCCCGGCCGCGCTCGGAATTGTGGGCCACTCGGCTAATGGCGTCGGCGAGTCTGGGGGATCAGGGGAGCCGGCTGTGAAGCTTCTCGCCAGGTTGGCTGGTGACAACCGGTGCTGCCGGGCCTGCGTCAGCAGGAGGGACCTGCCCGCTTTGTGGGCTCCTCGGCTAGGGCCGGCGAAGCCTAGCGGGGGCGGGGCGACTGCGAGGTGGCTCCTCGGCTAAGAGCCGAGGGAGTTGCGAGGAGGCTGCGGGGGGCTCTCGGGCTCGCTGCCCAGGCCTGGCGGAGCCCCAGTGGAGCCCAAGGGGCGGACTGCCCAAAGGCCAGAGACACCTGGAGGGAGCTGCCTGTCACCCCGAGGAGCTGACAGTGCCGAAGTTCGTTTGCGCCGCTCAGAAATTGGCACCAAGCTAGGTGGATCATGTCTGGCACCAACAGCCCCGAGGCGGTTAAGAAGCTGCTGGAGAATATGCAGAGCGACTTACGGGCCTTGTCCCTGGAATGTAAGAAGAAATTCCCACCTGTCAAGGAGGTAAGCTTCCGGCGACGTCGGGAAACGGCACAGTGAGCAGACCAGGTCCTGTTCTACCCAGTCCTGTTCGACCCAGTCCTTCACTCCCACCCTCCAGTCCTGTCTAATTCTCCTTTTGCCTTCACATTTCCATATTTGCGAGGCAGTGGGCTGATCCACAAGTGTTTTTATAGTTTCCTTTGGCGAAGTGTGAGGCGCTTTAATTTTTTTTCTACTGTTCTGTCCACCAGATTTAGGAATGAAGTTGGCAGAGTGAGCAGATTCAGCGAATTCACCTAGGTGTATGGTAGCCTCCCCTTTTCTAGCCTTTTTCAAACTTGAAGCTAGCCACGCCAGGATTGAAAAACTTATGTTTGTTGCTTCTAAAAACTAATGATCATAGTTGTAGTACAAAGTGTGCCCCTCACATTTATTGTATATATCACTCAGTTAAAAGTAGATTTCCTTTTTGTCACGTGTCATACAACTTAACTCTTTATCAGTCTCATGAAATAGTAGTAAATTATCCAGAGACACTTGACTTCGGATAAATATTGAAGAGCACAGTAACTATATTAAGCCTTGTTATGAGCAACACTGTACTGGGAAGTTTGGGCTTAGAGTCAAATACAACTGACTTCAACCACTAGCAAAACAGCAAGACATCCTACTTAACCTCTTTGAGCGTCATTTTTTTTTTCCAGATGTAAAATAGGACTAAAGGGTAGATTTATTAGATTATGATGAAAAAGTCGTCACAGCAAAAAAAAAATGTGTTGTTAAACAGGCTCAAGTGAATAATGTATACAAGTTAAATTATCCAAACATTTACTGAATTGAAATTACTAATATTTAGTCACTATTGGCTTTTTCTCTTAAGCGGTCATTTTATTTCTCTTAAACTTTTTTTAAATGCTGCTCAATTTCTTTTCTCATTCCTGAAATAAGATATTTAAGTGATATTTTTGTAAAAGCAATTATTTAAATTTTATTCTACTTAATGTTTGGTATACTACTGCAATTTCATAATTAGAACTTACACAATAAAGTTTGAATTTTAGGCTTTTAAGGAACATTAACTTTTTTTAAAGCTATTATAGAACTTTTAAAAATAATTTTCCATCATTAATCAATCTTTTTTTTTTTGATGAATAACTTGTACTATGATTCAGGGGAATTGTGTATACTCATCTGAAGCCAGTAAATAATGAATGGTGGCTATGATTTACAACAGAATACACTGAAGCGAATCTAAAAAGTGTCCATAGATACCCATGGTCAGCGTTTAACACCTGTCACCAGGAAGTAAGAAGACTTGTTGACTTCCTTCTTCAACAGCATATGGAGCAATATGTTGGAATTTTAGATTTGATTATGATAAGCCTTCCATTTCCACCATGCTTCTCTAATGCACTGGTGATTGGCTGTTCGAATTTTTTGTCCCTTGTTTCTTGGAAAGATTTGTAAGCAGATGTTTCAGATTGTCATTTAGAGAAGGACCAGCAACCACACTTAACTGTGGAACCTTAACTTCTGTAAGTGCTTTGGTCTCATCGGTCTGCAAGAAACTCCATCTAGTTTTTTTGTTGTTGTTTGTTTGTTTTTTTTAATAAAGTAAGCAGATATTACCTACCCAGTGATGAAAATGAGATGTGCCACTTTTGGAAAGATGACTTTTATGATAAGTTTAATTTCAGATATTCAGTAGTTTGTTTTGATACCAATTTTCATTATTTTTCTGTATCATCTTCTGTTGAGAGTTGTAACAAATAATTTTAAAGAATTTTAAAGAAAGTCTGTTCTAATTGCTCTCATTTAGAAAATATTAAATCCTATTTTGTAATTTTAACAATAATTTATAGAACTGACTAATCCCAGGTCTTATAATTGATGTAACACAGTGATTCCTCTATATTTTAGACCTTTGTGAGCTAGCTTGGGGATTTAATTGCCATTTATTATGTTATTTCTATTGGAAAATACATTCAGAATTCCAAACAAGTAACTTACAAAGTTCTAGAACTCAATCCATCTCTAATCTAGGAACTTTCAAGAAAGCTAATTCGCTTCTTTTACGTGAACCTTAGCTAAAGATGTATTTCGTTTAGTCTTTGAGGTACAATTGTAATCACACCAAAAATTGTGAAAGTAATTTTTGGCATGATTATCTCTGATACATAATTTTGTGTATAGTACACCATAAGACTTTGTTGGCTTTAAGAACTTTGACTCCTTAACCAGTGGCACTTCTAATAAGCTTAGGGCCCGCCTTCAGGAATTAAAAAATGACCTTGACTGTGTCACAAGTTTAAAACAAGAATGAAGTGATTAGTGATGGTTTTTAGGAGGGAGTCTTGATTTTCAAGAAGTATTTTGGTTGAGTTAAATTTTCCGTCATAATTTAATAGCAGTGCCATATTTTGGCTTTTGTTCTTAAAGGAACTGATAAGTTTTATTTTTTTGGAGTGAGGTGAGGGGTGGTACTTGGTAGACACTAAGGCAAAACTTGTCTAAGTATAAGAAACTTTTCTATCTGTGTACTGGTTTGCTGCTTAACACTCACTCTCCCAGTATCTTTGCAGATATTATCTGAAGAAGACTCGTTCTGGACTACTTAGAAGCTTACTCAAGAACTTAATAGAATACAGGGCTGATTGCATATGTGCTTCAGAAGGGTTGTCTCCTTCCCCATTACTTTTTAAAAAAAAGGTAGAATGAAGTGAGACATTCTATGTTTAGTCTTTAAGTTTTAATACTTTCTACCTTTTTGGCCGTAATACTTGGCTCTAATATTTTTTTCTTAATTAATGATAAGCTGGATTTTTTAAGATTTCAAATCTGTTAGAAAAATAGAAGAAAAGAGTATTGATAAAGGATAATGGCTTACTTACTGATATTTATTACTTTGGATATTCTTCATAGTTTTCTCCATCTTAATTGTTTTCATTTACAAAACAATTTGCATGTTAAGTTGTATTTATAGTGGCTATAATTTCATTCTGTCATTTTGTAATGAAGGTAGTAATACATTCAGTCTTTTTTCCCCCTCCTATTTTCCTTAGATATGAATCTTCATACTTCAGCAGTATAACTTTCTTTTAAGCACAAGTGTACTAGCTAATTTATTCTGAAATAATTGTATGAGAAGTTTTTTTTCTTTGTCTTAAAAATTACTTTAGAGCTTTGTAAATCACTTCTTTATAATTTATATTCATTCAGTGGCCTTCAGAAGCAGTAACCTCTGAGGTTTTGTGTTTATGTATTTAATGAATAAAACCCTTTTGGTCGTTTCTATTTGCAGGCACTACTCTGTGGAAACAAATGAGGGGCTCTAAGTAAGTCTAGAACCATGATCAGAGTGAGTTTGTAGTTGTGGAGCTGAGTCTTTATAGAGTGAGTAGAAGCTAGCCAACAGAAGAAGGGGGCATTCTAGGCAGAGGAAATAGCACATGTTTGTATTCCATGTAAAATAAATTTCATGATGAAGGTGATTGGGAGCCATTAAGGCTTTTTAAGAGAGTGGCATGATCAGATTTATACTGAGTAACATTACCTCAACAGTATTGGTGGGGAGAATCGGAGGGGATTGAGACTGAGGCAAAGAGAGCAAATTTTGTAAAGAGGTGATTGTCTGCATTGAGGTAGCAATAGAGATAGACAGGAAGTTGCTTGCATTGTGGTAGACACATGTGAAAGAGACAGTATGGATTAGAGAGATTTAGCAGGTAAAATTACCAGAGCATAGTGACCTTTTTTTGTAATGTAGAATGAGAAAACTGTGATGCTTCTGAGGTTTCTGGCTTGGGAAACTGAGTAAATCACGAAGAGGAGGAAATGTCTTGGGGGAAAATGAGTAGTCATGAATATTAAATTTAAGATTTATGTGTGATATCCAAGTGGAACTGACCAGTAAGTGTAGTAAGTGTTTGAAAATGATGGTCTGGCACTGAAGAGGGAGGTCTAGAATTTCAGATTTAGGAGTAGCAGTTAATAGAAACCATGGGAGTAGATAAATGGGCCAGGAAGAGTGTATAGAATGAGAATATCAGGGCTAAAGAAGGAACTTGGGGAAACAGCAGCATTGAAGGGAAAGGGGCAGCTGGGGTGACTAAGGTTAAGGACATGGGAGAGAAAGCGAACACTGGGCTCGAGCAAGGTCCTTGAGAAAGCTGGAGTTTCAAGGGCCTGGGTGTATGAACTGACTTCCAGTCTGAGAAGGGATACATTACCCTCTGTTAGAGGAAGGGAAAAAGAAAAAGTGGATTTGAATGTGACAAATTTGAATGAAGAGCCTAGTGGAGGGATAGCAAGTTGTGGACAGTTTGGTCTTGCTCTGTTTTCTTGGTAAAATAGGAAAGGAGCTTGTTGCTAGGAGTGATTAGTGATAAAAGAAGTGTTGGATAGGAAGTTTGAGGGGAGCAGTGGATAGCTTTGGAGAAGTGGAGGGGAAATTGACTTGGAACACCTCAGAGTCTTGGCAGGAAAAGTGGCTGAATGATGATGGATCGTGAGATCTAGGTTGAATTCCCAAAGAAGGAAATCCAAGACAGCTTTGATTGAATGGAAGGTGGAAAGGTTAAGGCACTAGCAGCTGTTTAATTGAATTGGACCAACTTAATCCAAGAGCAGTGGAATTGGGGAATGAAAGAGCTAGAAAGATAGGGACTGGGAAAAAAAGTGGGGATATTGAATTTCAGACTACCAAGTAAGATGATAAAGCCCGGGGAGGGGGTCATAGAAGAGAAGAGGGAGCGAAGGTCATTTGACTTGAGGTTGTCACATTAGGGTTTCGGATGGATTTTTTTTTTTCTCTCTCTCTTTTAATGAAGTGGAATCAGTGAGAGTATGATGAAGTGTAGGTAGTCTTCCCAGGCTACGTACTTGAAGTTTCTTCTTACCCATTCAGGACTGGTAGAAGTAGTTGGCAGGGATTGTTGCCTAAAAAAGCAAATGTTCTGTGGTGGAGTTCCTCAGTGTCAGGCGTTTCTATGCATTAACTGGCTGAGGGGAGAAAGCGGTGC